TCTAAGTCCTATTGAGCCATCATGAACGAAATCTCTATATACGCACGGCCGTGCGTATATTAGATGACGTGTGCCGCTTCAATTTATCTGCAAAATTTCGGTCGAGTTTAGTGTGAGTTTCTTTTGTTTAATTTTCGGCAATGAGAAGATTATTTTGAACAATCCAAACTCTACTTCGAGCCTTTGACGTTTGCCAAGCTAAGATGTTTACTTAAACGTGAGTATTTTGACTTTGTTTATACTTTCATCCAGTATTTTTGACTTTGTCTGCCTACATTTTCATTATAATTAATTTGGAGAAGCGAATTTCTCATTGACAATTTTAGAAACCAGGTTAAGCGTTTTCGTTCAACTGTTGCTCAACTGATTGTGGCGTGTTGGGATCCTAATGACCTTTGCTTTTCTTCACCGTGCATTGATATACGCACGCTAGACATGAACCAATGCTTAATATAAACCCTTTTTTTGGGGACGTTTTCGCTGCCGTTGTGGTTTGTGAAAGGTCCCTGCTGTTGTGGTCTACACAAAGTCACGACGTCAACTTATAAGTCTTCTGTTTGCTTCTATATTTACGATTTAAACCTCAAAGTCATTGAAAAATTCCAAGCGAGCAGAAGTGCAGAATATCGTTGTCCACTCTTGTACAGTCAATCAGAAAATCCTGTTCTAATCGTCCCAAGAAATTTCCGAAAATTCAAATCGGAATTTTTGTACCAATGGAAAGCGTTCTAGATTTTACGGAACCTTTTCTAAACTTAAATTTTGTTCTTGCTCTAAAAAGGTAGTACTAACTGATATTAAAATTTATAAATCGATATCAAAGAACGTAACGAAATCAAACCTGTGTAACCTCCCAGGCTCAATCTGTATTTCCCTCCCTCACTCGCTACTTTAAAGGAATCGTATTCAGCGTAATAGGTGTTCCCTTCATAGTCTTCCAGATCAACACGAAGTTTGTACTCTTCACGGCTAGTCAGATGGTGTATATTGTCAAGCCCGAGCCAAAATTCACCATTCAGATTTCCAAAGCCACGTTTGTACTGGTTCCAGCCTACAAAGAAATCCACCGAGCCGTTCAGTCTCTTCTGGAACACTAACCACCCTCCTCCAGCTGTTATTTGGTCACAAAACACTTTAATGATCCCTGCACTATCTGGGTTGATCTTGTAAACACCGCTTTCCCTTTCTCCAGCTTTGTAAGTGTCAGCACAGTTCTTGGAAACTATGGAACAAACAAACCAGAAACAATAAAAAAAGAAGAAAAAAAACTTCTCCCAAACTTTCACGAGTGTTTCTACTAAACAATTATATTATGAGCTCGAGATTTCTTTCGCGTGATAGTTGACGAGGGCGAAGTCCGTATCACCTATAGCGCGATAGAAATCGATAGCGAATAATTTAGTTGTTTTAGTATCAATCTATTAGTCGTTCAAAACTTAATCTAATCCTCTTTGCAGACCCTTCGAAAACGCAAAGAAGCGGCCGTCATTTTGTTAACAAGGGCACACTGCTACGCTACTCACCATCTATCTCAGAATAGATAGTGAGTACCGTAGGCAATCAGAGAACGGTATTCGTGATAGAGCGCTAGTAGATTTATACTAAAACTCGGCGATGGAGACGCGGAGAACATGTTTCCATTTCTTTTAGAAAACACCGCAACGAAAAAAAGAAAAACAGCTTGTTTACTTTGATCATCAAAATGCAAATTCTCTTTGCTCGCGGCATCATTACGTCAACAGCTCGTGCTAGTTCTGTGTTTCTATCGAGTTTTAGTGTAAATCTACTAGCGTTCTATCACGAATGCCGTTCGCTGATTGGCTATGCTACTCACCATCTTTTCTGTGATAAATAGTGAGTAGCTTAGCAGTGTGCGCTTCTTAACAAAATGACGGCCGCTTCTTGGCGTTTTCGAGGTGGTTGTAAAGAGTATTTAGATAAAGTTTTGAACGACTACTAGATTTATACTAAAACAATTAAATTATTTGCTCTCGATTTCTGTGCGTGATAGTTGACGAGGGCGCATCTCGAGCTCATAATCTGACATTTTGATGGAAACACGAATTTTAACCAATCAGCGCGCGTACTTTCTTAGGGCTGTTTTCTAAATGTAGATGGCTCATGCACAATTTTTCACTTGCTAGAATTCAGCTGGCAATATGTTATACAAATTAATATAGCTATTACTCTCACGAAATATTAAAAATTGAATTTGTTCAGGTTATCTCCTAGAGTTACCTGTTTCACATTGTGTTCCATGAACGCCTGGTGCACAACTGCAGGTGAATCCAATCGCTCGGTCTGTACAGATCCCGTTGTTCTTACAGGGATTACTTGCGCAGTCAACAATATCTGTTTCAAAGGAAAAAATGAAACGGAGATTTAAACAATGATTTATGTTATATATGAGAGGACTTGCCGCATCAGGAACTTTATTTTTACCCTTTTAACACCTGCTTAATCGCCTTTACTAACCTCAATAAACCAGAGACATTAAGAAAAGATCGTTACTTGATAACAATATACACAGTGCGAAGGAGATGGTTTCCATTGGTGCTTGACATGTACTTCAAACCCTTAATCAAATGTATTTCTTACGCAAAAAAATCAGAAGTACCTTTGGATTTAGATAATTAACATAATCTGGATCTTATGGTCCACAATTTAAATTCTTACAGTGTAGTTCATTGTCGATTGATTGTCAGTATTAGGCCCCTATGTTTCAAAATAAATATTAACATTAATCTTTCTTATTCAAAACTTACAAGTTTCACACTGAGTGCCATTAAAGCCTGGTGCACAGGTGCAATTGAAGTCGTTTAACTGGTCTTTACAGGTCCCGTCGTTCTTACAGGGCTGACTTGCGCAGTAATCGATATCTATTTGAATGAATCAGATAAAAACGGCATTTATATAACTTGCTGCAAGGACAAAAGCCAGAACAAAGATATTTGCATTCTAGTCTGCTAATTAGAAAAAGCAAGCTCTGGTAGCGGAGCCCCCGCGCGCCGAAGTCGCGTGAGCGAAGCCTTATACCTTAGAGAATTATTTTGGTAACACATCGAGCTAAGAAAATTTGGTTGTCATCTGATTTTTACGACGCCCGCACGTGCGCCACTTGCTCTGTGTGTGCACGAGTTTTTCAAGGTCATTTATATTACCTCTTTTGGCCTAAAACTGCTTATGTTAATAAAAGAAACTCTACTTTCAAGATAAAATTTTGTTCTTAAAAGTCTTCCCATGTACACTGACATTGACAAGTAATCAAAGATGCATTAGATGATGCAAATTATTTCTGAAGGGCCAAAGTCTGCCTATATTGGATACAAGCTATGTGTAAAGTGAATGTAAAGCAAGCACACTGTTAAAGATGTGCATGGTTATCTTGAATAACCTAAAATTTCACTGAAGAGGTGGAAAATATCATTTAATATCTTTGCCGGTTCTGAGGTGGAGGGCTAGTACATGTAGATGGCTTATGCACAATTTTTCACTTGTTAAAATTCAGCTGGCAGCATACAAATGAATATAGTCATCTGTTGGTGCGAAACGATCTAAAACAAATACCTATTACTCTCACGAAATAGTATTAATTGAATTTGTTTAGATTATGTCCTAGAGTTACCTGTTTCACATTGTGTTCCATGAAAGCCTGGTGCACAACTGCATTTGAATCCGTTCGCTTGGTCTGTACAGGTCCCGTCGTTCTTACAAGGATGACTAGCGCAGCCATCAATATCTGTTTTAAAGGAAAAGTTGAAATGGGGAATTATATAAAGATTTATGTCATATATGAGAGGACTTGCCGCATCAGCAACTTTATTTGTACCCTTTTAAAACCTGCGTAATCGACCTTAATAATCACAGTAAACCAAAGACATAAAGGCTGTTTAACTACAGTTTTGATGGGTTATAGCAGCCCAACTTCTAACTCTTTTGAAAAAGTTCTAAGATGTTTTTCCTTTCTTTATTTACTGTTTGCTTGAGTCTTTTACCATTGTAGGTGAAACTTAAACGATTTAAACGCCAAGAAATGGCCAAAATGAATGACCGAGTTCACAAGGAGAGATTAGGCACTAGTAGGTTAAATAATGTTTTTCTCAAAATCCACCCGAATGACCCCACCTCAAAATTTCAGGAGTAAGAAATTGACTCTGATTTAACATTCATGCAAAGTAAAATAAGAATCTGTAAGACAGATGTTTCGCAAAGCAAGAAAATGTGAAATCAAATATAGCTCCAAAGCTATCTTGCAGATTAAAATTTTGGCTCTAAACGTGATTCACCCCTACAAATCAACTGCGAAAATTTCATCATGGGTTGTACGGTAGGTTTTCGAGCAATCCTCGATGAAAGAGCAAGAGTGAATTAGCTAGCTTATCATGGCCTGTGTGATCTTGGCTTGATAGGAGTCACATAATGAGAAAAATTCAGAGATTTCCCTTTACGCGTTAATAGGTAATGTCAACACATTCAGAGAGTTGTAACCAAACAATTACCGTAAAGCCCTCAAGCAGTTTAGGGCCTGGGTCAGGAATGTAGTACGCTGGAAAAAACTGTTCTGGATCGATGTTTTACCACAAAAAATTAAAACAAACAAAGTGACAGAACTAATTTTGAAATTGTCTTAAACTCTACTAAAGTCCACACATGGAAACTTATTTTTATTTGGATCACGCACCTTGTCCAAATTTGCTAACAAAGTCACAAAAGTATGTAAAATCACGTTATTTCTGAGAAATAAGAGTCATATTTAGAGTGTTGTTTTGCGATGAAACTCTTTACGTGCTGGTGGATTTTTTGGCGAGATTTTGACAAGAAAGCATGAGAAAGACTTAAGGTTACCGTATACCTTCAGGGGTGTCTCGCGTCCAAGCGATGTAGCGCGTCCGGTTTAAGATGTGGATAACTGAACCCCTATATCAAATTAAAGCTTATAGAGCTGGCTATCAAACCATACCAAAAATTTTGAAATTAAATGAACTTCCGATTTTTTCACGGCCACTAAAAACGAGCGTCCTAATCATCTTTTGGTATTTATTTTTTTTCCTCGGTTTCAGGACAAAAAGCGCTAAAAAAGCGTGTCTGCGTTTTGCCATATTCAATTGCAGTAAAAAGTTACAGAACATTTTCGNTACCGTATACCTTCAGGGGTGTCTCGCGTCCAAGCGATGTAGCGCGTCCGGTTTAAGCGGTAGATACCTAAACCCCCATATCAAATTAAAGCTTATAAAGCTGGCTATCAAACTATACAAAGAATTTTGAAATTAAATGAATTGCCGATTTTTTCAGGACCACAAAATGCGAGCGCCCTAATCATCTTTTAGAAGCTACAAGTCAAAGCGAATTTTGTTTTTCGCCAATTTATTTTTTCCCTCGGTTTAAGGACAAAAAGCGCTAAAAAAGCGTGTCTGCGTTTTGCCATATTCAATTGCAGTAAAAAGTTACAGAACATTTTCGAAATAAGATTTAAAAAAATGTGAAGTGATCCTACAAAAATCGCTCTCGGAGAAAAAATATTTCGAAACAAACAATTCGCGGACACTCTTTTGTTTATTATATGTTAATATAGCGACAGTCCAAATTTTAGGGCAATCGAAGAAATTCCCTTTGAGTTGTAACTCTTCAAAGTGTCTGCTTCAAGCGAAAAAAATTATTCGAGAAAACAGCGCTAAGAAAAATCTCTTACTTCGCAAGCAAACTCCGCCCACAAACGCCTTCAACTGGGTTCTCAGATCACTGAGCCAATCAGCGTTTGGAAAGTTTTTTCTTGCGGGGAAATTTACGCGCGAATCTCCAAAAAACCCTTGTGTTTCGCAATGCGCTTAAGGCGGAGAGATAATTTTTCTGTAGCTCGGTTTTTCTTGAAGCTGGTCTGGCAAAATGCAGAAGACGAAAGAGGATACGAACGCTAGAGTGGCTGGGTGAAGAAAACAAACAAAAGAAAGCGCGGCGGAGTAAATGTGCTTGGATAATATTCCAGTGGATCTCAATGCGTCAGACAATTCATCGGTATCGGACTCAACAGAAGAGTCACTGTAAAAATCGCTGTTATCACTGTCAAGTTCCCAAATTTTTAGAGAAACTTTGTCTTCTCTTGACTCGATCTTTTCGC